ATATAATATACAAGTTTCACTTTTTAAATGGAATTACTGAAATCAATCTACTTTTTCATGATATTCTAATTTTATGACCAGCACCTGTATAAATGTTTTAAATCAGGTTGGGTCCAGATCCAGACCCCGGTCCTCTAATCCGTGACCTCTGACCTAGAGTATCCTCTGTCTCCGCTCTCCTTACAGCCAGTCATGCTGTTTTACTTTCCAAGTTAGTTTAGTTGGGTTTTTGTCATAGTTTTGTGCATAAAACAACAAAAAAAAGTCCTTCACTAGCTAAACGACACAGATTAAAAACAAACATAGCGTGTTCGTTTGACGAGGATCTTATCAAAGAATGATCGGCTTTAATTCACAGAAAATTTAATATCTTAGGGAGAGGATTCTACAGCTATGTTGACAAGATATGAGATTTGTTTTTGGTTTGTATTATGAGTGGGATGCCCATCATTTTATTTTTATGTAATTATATTTACAGTACATGAAGAACTAATGAAATTATTTTCAGATTAAACATCAATGGATTAATAAATAAATTCTTAGAATAAATGTATTTGTTCTTGAATTAAGGAGGTAAGAGACACATTTTGACAATGGAACAAAACAATTTACACTTAAAATAAGAAAACACAATTACATTGTCTCATTTCAAGTGCATATTATCTAATTATCTTATTTTAAGAGTAAAAATACTCACTCCATTGGCAACCCATCTCATTTACCTGCTCAAATTAAGGTTAAATACACCTTATTTAAGAAATTTAAACTTATTTGTAGGTCGTTTTTCCAGTGTTTAAACCTGATCTGCCCTAAAACCCACTGAAGGACTCATTCCTTCACCTATAAAGTTTTTACTCTGTTTATATGGTTTAGTTAGAGATGTTGGTGTAATTTCTAATCACAGATCTGTGGCTTAAATTCAACTTTCAGACTAAATTTACCAGATAATGTGAATATTTTGGGTTTCTTGGGACTCACTAAACTGTGCTTAAAAACAGATCTGTCACCATGATGCACCTGCTACAAAAAAAGTCAAATCTTTTGCTTTTTTTTTTTAAATGATCCAGAATTTTGGAGCCTAAAAGAAACAGGAACGTTTAAGCCGCTGCATTTTTATTTTAATTTCCTCGTTGTGTCATCCTTTTTCTCTCAGTTATCATTCACCTATCTGAATTCAATTTAAATTCAAACCAACTTGTAGTTTATTTATTGTTTTTACTGTATTTAGGATTTAAAATCCTAGTCCACAATCATCCTCATTCACATTTCCCCCTAAATGTTCACCTTATGATAAATGTTTACATTATTTATTGGCTGCATCTAGAAATGTCAAAGATATATTTTTATTTTTAACATATATATGAAATAATACAATACAACATCCAATAACTTAAATGATATAATTGTTCTAGGTCATCAAATCAGTTTAGTCCAATCAGCTGCCTGTAGTGGCTTTAAATGTCCAACAGGGGTCAGTATTCTGTTAGCATCAATAGTTAAGCTTCCAGATGCCTCATTAACATCACTAGTTTTTTCTCTGTTTATATGGTTCAGTTAGAGATGTTAGTCTAGTTTCACAGATCTGTGGCTTAAATTCAACTTTCAGACTAAATTAACCAGATAAAGGGAATATTTTGGGTTTAACTGTAACCAGAAGGTGATGGAGGCTGGAATGGCTGCATCAGGTGGAGGGATCCACCAGAAAGCTGCAGATCATCGGGTCTCTCAGTCAGAATTCACTGTTCTGTTAAATCCTGAATATTGGCTGAAATAGTTCCACATATGACATTTTGCCCACAGGATTTTGAAGCCTTTTTTTATTATATTTATTTTCCTTAAAAGTCTGGATGGAGATATGTTGTCCACACACTCTTAAATAATCATTGGATTATTGGCTTGGTGTAATTTAGAGGAATGAAAAACATAGTAAATTTCTATATTCTTTTTCTCGGTTAGACCTGGATCAGAACCCGGTGGCTCCTACAGGTAACCCAGCAGAACCTCTCCTGACCTGCGGTAAACTTAGAGCCAGTCAGCGTTCCCATAGTCAACACCTGTTTATCCCTTTAAACTACCTCAATTGGCATGTATCCCTTTAGTCATGTCCCAAAAACTATTTAATGACTTTTTGGTGTTTTCTGAAGCGTATGGCGATCTGTCCTCAAATTGTTTTTGTTTTGTTTTTTTGTGTATGACTAAAGGGATACATGCCCATTGAGGTAGTTTAAAGTCTATTTTTGGTACAAAATTAAAGAGACACACAAATCTGACGTCTTGCTTATTGACTATAGGTATGCTGGTCTGATGTATGCTGGTCTGATGGGGTATGCTGGTCTGATGGGGTATGCTGGTCTGATGGGGTATGCTGGTCTGATGTATGCTGGTCTGATGGGGTATGCTGGTCTGATGGGGTATGCTGGTCTGATGGGGTATGCTGGTCTGATGTATGCTGGTCTGACAGAACCGTGGGTCCAGTTAGACATGATGCCAATGAAACTGGTTGGTTTTCAGCTGAACTTTAATCAGATGGTCCTCCTGACCCTGTTCTTCTGTTTTAGTAGCAGATCCACCCAGAAGCAGCTGGAGCAGCTTCTACCCAGTCTGGTTCTGTCTCCCAGTCAAAAGGAGAAGAACCAGACCAGAACCAGATGCTCTGGAGAACATTTGGGTTTCCTTATCTGGGGCTGCTGCAGTGGGTAGCAATGTTGCCTTGCAGCTAGAAGGTTCTGGGTTAGATTCCCGGCCTGGAGTCTTTCTGCATAGTTTGTATGTTCTCCCTGAGCATGTGTGAGTTCTCTCTGGGTACTCTGGCTTCCTCCCACAGTCCAAAAACATGACTGTTAGGTTAATTGGCTTCTCTAAATTCTCCTTAGGAGTGAGTGTGTGAAGGGTTGTTATTCCTGTTTGTGTCTGTTTCCCTGCGATGGACTGGTGACCTGTCCAAGGTGACAGCTGGAGATGGGCACCAGCACCCCTCATCACCCCAGCAGGGCTAAGAGTGATGGATGGGTTCCTGTTCTAGAACCTATTATCTAGATGAATGAACCTCTAAGGGGACTGAAAATGACCCAAAGAGCAGACAGGAAGAGATCCAAGGAGAACCTGGTTAGTGGCGTCCTTGTTCCTCTTAAACTCGCTCCTGGCCCAGTCCCTCAGGTACTTCCGGTCTGCCTCGTCAGGAACCTGGCGGATGGTCCTCAGCATGTTCCTGTAGATTCCCAGAACCTTCTGTCTCTGGAGGAACTGACAGGAGAACCGGGTTTAGCTCCCCCCGGACCGGGTCACCGTCTCCCAGAGGTCTGTGCTGCTTTACCTGCTTTAAGGAGAGCGCTGCGACCGGAAGTCTGGAGCTCATCCTGGTCCTGCAGCGAGCAGACAGCCTGGGAGCTTCTGGTGGTCACCGCAGCTAGTCTGGAGGACACTTCTACTTCTTCTTCTTCTTTTCTATTATGGCGGATCACAAGCAACTTTAAGGTGCATACCGCCACCTACTGTACATGAGTGTGTAGCAGCGTTACTTCACATCTATTAGATTCTATTTTTT